GTAGTAATCCATCCTAGTAGTGGGTCTGTAGGCTACCAAGGCTCTAGAACACTCCCCCCAGGGGGCAACAAGAACACTCCCATAGTGTAGTAGGTTAAACCAAACTTTTTATTCAAAGAGGTGCATCATATAAAAGCATGTGTTACAACGTTGCAGACAGTAGTCTGTAAAGGGACTGACCAGCTGGTAGTTTAAAAATGCAACGTGGAGCTCCGGCGGCGTGACGTCACGGCGTGATGTGGCTCCTCCTAGTATTTGGAGTCCAGAAAATTCAGAAGCAGACTGGAGGCTGTGAGACATCACACAAAGAGGTAATTTTTTTGCCAGGAAGCAGATTTTGTACTAAAGTGATGTTGGAGGACGTAAGACAGGGATTATTAGAAGTTAGAGCATTTGTTTCTACAATTGAGTTTTCTATTTCAATATTTTTAGTAAAGAAGTTTTTTGGAATACAACAGGCTCATGAAACGCCCACGCAGGGGCAGAGCGGAACAAAAGCATACAAAAGCAGATACAAATCAGCTGGGTGTATTAGCCAAGTAACAGAATGTCCAAAGGCGCCAAGGGGAAACAGCAAAAAGCAGAACCAATCAATATCAGCCGCGTTCCATCATCTTACCGAAACAAAACAAAGAGGAAAAACCTCTACCGAGAACTATCAGATCAGAAAAAATGGGAGAGAAACATAAACTAATGAAAAGAAGAAAGTATAGGAAAGTAGTAAGAAATAAGGAAGGGAGTAAAGATTCAGTGAGAAAGAAAGTAAGAATGGAAGAATGACGGATCCAGGGCCAGTACAGGCAACAACACAAGACGCCATAACTAGTAGGAGGAGGCAAGAACAGCAAGGAATCATTTATCCAAGATTCCCAGACCTTACAGAATCTCGGATGAGAATCCTGAAGAATGCTAGACATCTGCTCATTGATCATCATAGCATTCAGCCTGGTCTTCACACCCTGGAAGGCAAACCGAAGGGGCTCTCCAGGCTTGAGCTATAGCACGTTTGGCGGAAATGAATAGGTAGGATGCCAATTTCTGCTGAGACATGGACAGACCCAAAATTGGACAATGCAGGAGGGCCACACTTGCATCCTTATGGACTGTAATCTGAAATAACGTTTGCAGCAAACCAAAAACCCTAGACCAGAATCCTATCAATCGTGGGCACGACCACCAGATATGCAGGATGCCCCCCATAAACCACAGTTCCTGAAACACCTATCTCCACCACGCGGATTAAAGTGAGCAGTCCGAGCTGGGACCCAGTACGACCGAAGAAGAACTTTGTAGGCTGCATCAAGAGTGACAGTAGTGAAAGAACATTTCGCCACCATCTTTCAGGCCTTGTTCCAATCCTCCGCCACAATCGAGGAACCTAGATCTCGCTTCCTTGAGACACATAGAACAGGGGCAGTGAGGAGGACCTACTGTTATGAGAGGCATAAATTACAGAAATGAGACCAAGGGAATGTTGACAAAATGTGTTCAAAGGGCATTTTGCTGTATATGTGGAATATATTTATTTATTTATTTCAGGTACTTATATAGTGCCGTCAATTTACGCAGCACTTTACATATATATTGTACATTCATATCAGTCCCTAACCCTCAAGGGGCGTACAATCTAAGGTCCCTAACTCACATTCATACATACACATATTAGGGCCAATTTAGACAGGATCCAATTAACCTCCCAGCATGTCTTTGGAGTGTGGGAGGAAACTGGAGTACCCGGAGGAAACCCACGCAAGCACAGGGAGAACATGCAAACTCCATGCAGGAGGCGCCATGGTCAGGAATCAAACCCATGACCCATTTACTGCAAGGTAGACGTGCTAACCACTAAGCCACTGTGCCACCCCATATATATGTGGAAGTACGACGTAGGGACATGATCCAATGGCCTAATTGCAAATAACGATAATATTCCTATGGTGGAACCCCCGTGACTCCTGAAGAGTCTCCCAAGATGGAAACGAACGAGTGTTCAGGAAGTTATGTACAGTAACAAAGCCATGGGAGGTCCACCAAGAGAAAGAGGGGGGATGTTCTAAGCCGGGGGGGAATAGAGGGTTATGCGTAATCGGCAAAAGAGGCAGCAAAGGTGATATTAAGTTACCCGAATATTTAACAAAATCCCAGATTCGTAGACTGTGAAGCATGATGGGGCTCAGGTCTGCGTGGCGCAACTTCTGTGGGAGCCAAAGCAATGTATTTAAGGAAAGCGGAGCACAGTTGGGTAATTCCAAGAGTACCCATAACAGGACATCTGTCGTGGCGTGAAGCATGGACTACTGGGAAATTTGAATAATATCTGGAAACATGCGGGACTCCCAAGCCTCCCTGCAGTTTATGGGTATACAGAGTGGATCTAGAAACTCTGGGCCGCTTATGAGACCAAATAAAATGAAGAATCCAGCTTTGCAGTAGACAAAGAAAGAATGCAGGGAATAGGTAGAGTGCAAAAAAATACAGGATCTTCAGAAAGAAAGTCATCTTGACAGCATGTATCCGGCCAATCCATGACAAAGAAGGAAACTGCCGGAAAGAAGTAGGGAAGTCACGGATCGTAATAAAGGGTAATAATTAGCCGAAAATAAGGTAGAGTAGGAGGTAGTAAGTTTAAAGCCAAGATAATCTAGGGATGCCCAACGGTATGGAAATTGTGTCTGCAACCGTTCAACCAGGTCAGCAGGGAGCATAATATCGAACCACAAAGAGTAGAGAAGGCCGAGCACCACCAGCAGTGGAGGAACTAGACTATTCAATGCCGTGGTGTTAGACAAGTTAATGCTAAGGCCAGATATAGCTGAAAATCGGTCCAGTCCGCCCTGGAGATTGGGAAGAGTGATGGGAGGATTGGTTAAAACCAAAAGGGCATTATCCACATAAAAGTTTGCCTTACACTGAGTTCCTGTATAGGGGACACCGGAAATATCCATGTGGTTTCGAATGTAGAGGTTTGGGTATGAGAAACAAAAAGTGCAGGCGACAGTGGGCATCCCTGTCTTGTGCCCCTGAAAACCGGGAAAAAATTAGGAAAAAAAAAAAGCAGAGGCTGAGGGAGACGAGTATTAAGCAGAGATTCATGCCAAGAATGTGTCACCAAACCTCCATCTAGACAGCATATAGGTCAAATACTCCCAAGCAGGGGCGGACTGACCATTGGGGAACTTGGGCACTGCCCGGAGGGCAGTAGGGGGCCCCATGAGATGTCCCTGGTACCTTTCATAGGCTTTTTTGGGTGTGATTTGAGTGTGGGCAAGGACACAGGGGCCCCATGATCCCCTATTGCCCGGGGGTCCTATGTCCAGGAATAAAAGGAACCCCAGTATCCTACGGTGATGTAAAATATGAATGATATGGATGACTTTACATATGTTACCAGCAGCTTGTCTCCCCGCAACAAAACCAACCTGAACCCTGTGGGACAAGTGAGAGTAGATATTTATTAATTTGAGTGCTCAAAACCTTTCCTAAAATCTTCAAGTCCGCATTTAGCAGCGAGGTCGGTCTGAAAGCTTGCGGTTCAAAAGGCATCCTCAGACGTCTCGGGGATCATAGTAATTGTGCTTTAAGAGACTCCAGGGAAAGCCAGGAGCCCCGCTTCAGAGAATTGAAAAAGTCTGCCAGGTGAGGAACCTGAAGGGTGGTATATTTTTAATAGTAGAGCCCAGAAAAGCCACCCGGGCCCGGAGCCTTGGAGGACTTCGGAGATTTGATAACTTGGTAAATTTCAGTTTCGGAGATATCCGTGTTTACAATTGAGTTTTATTCTGATCTGTCATTGGAAGAAACAAGCTCGGTGTTGAGTTTTGGAAGGGAAGACTTATCGACGCGGCTAATGTCCATTTTCACACAGAGTATTAATGTCTGCTGAAATTATAAACTGCTCTCATACAGTAGATGACTGTCTCCAAATCCTGATAATAAGCTTAAAGCAGTTTGTGAAATAATAATCTACTTAACACGAACCGTATCTCCTCCAGACAATCAACTCCCGAGATGAAGTGCTCAGTTCACAGCGAGCCGAGAGCCAGTAATAGGGTGGAATCATCTTAATAATGGATATTTGGAAGCGGCCATCTCAATCGAACGTTGAGGCGTCTGCTGCTAATCCCCAAAAATAGTTGATGCTGACCAATCGATGTCCGCTGAACTCATTGACATTTCTACATACTGTCCTCCAGTTGTGAACGACTTTCACCCTGGAGTGTAGGAGCTTAAAGCCAATTTAGAGGTGACAACGCTCAATATTTGTAGGTGTCACCTCCTTGCAGAGTAGGTGCAACCCAGAGAACAGCAGACGACGCCCATAGGTGAGCAGAGACAGACACATGTGAAAGGGATCAGGAACAGCACTGCAGCAAGGAAGTAAAAATATACAAACAAGAAACTGCAGGCTAACTTGTGACACCATCGGATTGCCAGACAGAGAAGTGTGATTGGTCCCTCCAGAGAATACGTCTCCATTGCTCTAGAGTCCAGTGACGGCGTTCTTTACACCACGGCATCTGACGCTTTGCATTGCACTTGGTGATGGAAGGCTTGGATGCAGCTGCTCGGCCATGGAAACCCATTCCATGAAGCTCTCTACGCACTGTTGTTGGGCTCATCTGAAGGATACACCAAGTTTGGAGGTCTTTAGCTATTGACTCTGCAGACAGTTGGCGACTTCTGCGCACTGTGCGCTTCAGCATGCGCTGACCCCGCCCTGTCATGTGACGTGGCCTACCACTTGGTGGCTGTTGTTCCCAGTTGCTTTCACTTTGTTATAACATTCCACTAACATTTGAGCGTGGAATATTTAGTAGCCAGGAAATGTCACGGATGGACTTATTGCCCAGGTGGCCACCTATCACGGGACCACGCTTGGAGTCACTGAGCTCCTGAGAGCGACCCATTCTTTCACCAACGTTTGTAGAAGCAGTCTGCATGCCTAGGGGCTTGATTGTATACACCTGTGTCCATGGAGGGGATTGGAGCACCTGAATCACATGATATGGAGGGGATTGGAACACCTGAATCACATGATATGGAGGGGATTGGAACACCTGAATCACATGATATGGGGGGATTGGAACACCTGAATCATATGATTTGGAGGGGATTGGAACACCTGAATCACATGATTTGGAGGGGATTGGAACACCTGAATCACATGATTCTGAGGGGATTGGAAAACCTGAATCACATGATTGGGAGGGGATTGGAACACCTGAATCACATGATTTGGAGGGGATTGGAACACCTGAATCACATGATTCTGAGGGGATTGGAACACCTGAATCACATGATTGGGAGGGGATTGGAACACCTGAATCACATGATTTGGAGGGGATTGGAGCACCTGAATCACATGATTTGGAGAGGATTGGAACACCTGAATCACATGATTTGGAGGGGATTGGAACACCTGAACCCAATGATTTGGAGGGGATTGGAACACTTGAATCACATAATTTGGAGGGGATTGGAACACCTGAATCACATGATATGGAGGGGATTGGAACACCTGAACCACATGATTTGGAGGGGATTGGAAAACCTGAATCACATGATTTGGAGGGGATTGGAACACCTGAATCACATGATTTGGAGGGGATTGGAACACCTGAATCACATGATTTGGAGGGGATTGGAACACCTGAATCACATGATTTGGAGGGGATTGGAGCACCTGAATCACATGATTTGGAGGGATTGGAACACCTGAATCACATGATTTGGAGGGGATTGGAACACCTGAATCCAATGATTTGGAGGGGATTGGAACACCTGAATCACATGATTTGGAGGGGATTGGAACACCTGAATCACATGATTTGGAGGGGATTGGAACACCTTAATCACATGATTTGGAGGGGATTGGAAACACCTGAATCACATGATTTGGAGGGGATTGGAACACATGAATCACATGATTTGGAGGGGATTGGAACACATGAATCACATGATTTGGAGGGGATTGGAACACCTGAACCCAATGATTTGGAGGAGATTGGAGCACACCTGAACCCAATGATTTGGAGGGGATTGGAAAACCTGAATCACATGATTTGGAGGGGATTGGAACAGCTGAATCACATGATTTGGAGGGGATTGGAACACCTGAATCACATGATTTGGAGGGGATTGGAACACCTGAATCACATGATTTGGAGGGGATTGGAGCACCTGAATCACATGATTTGGAGAGGATTGGAACACCTGAATCACATGATTTGGAGGGGATTGGAACACCTGAACCCAATGATTTGGAGGGGATTGGAACACCTGAACCCAATGATTTGGAGGGGATTGGAAACACCTGAATCACACATGATTTGGAGGGGATTGGAACACCTGAACCCAATGATTTGGAGGGGATTGGAACACCTGAATCACATGATTTGGAAGGGATTGGAACACCTGAAACCCAATGATTTGGAGGGGATTGGAACACCTGAACCCAATGATTTGGAGGGGATTGGAACACACTGAATCACATGATTTGGAGGGAATTGGAACACCCGAATCACATGATTTGGAAGGGATTGGAGCACCTGAACCCATGATTTGGAGGGGATTGGAACACCTGAATCACATGATTTGGAGGGGATTGGAACACCTGAACCCAATGATTTGGAGGGGATTGGAACACCTGAATCACATGATTGGGAGGGGATTGGAACACCTGAACCCAATGATTTGGAGGGGATTGGAACACCTGAATCACATGATGATTGGGAGGGGATTGGAACACCTGAACCCAATGATTTGGAGGGGATTGGAACACCTGAACCCAATGATTTGGAGGGCGGGGCCAATACGTTTGGAAATATAGAATATATGCTGAGTCTATAGAGAACCGTACACATCCAGAATCCCCATTGCCTGCATTTCTTAGCAGCCAGAATTCTCGCTAAAATATTTACTGTGTTCTTGTTATTTTTATTTACTTGGACAATTCTATGACTCATTGGAACGTCTCAGGAAACCACATGATTGGCTCCCAAGTTTGCTGTTTTGTATCATCCCGGGAAATTTCAGGTGTAGACATCAATAATCTCAGACAACTTTGATATGTTAATGTGGGAGACCTAAATTATCTTGCATCGTGTTTACCGGTGACCCCAGAGAGAACACAGCGCTGGAGGAACTCGGAGCCGATTCTTCTGGGTATAATCTTCAAAGGAGCTTGCGAGAAGTTCTCTCTACATAGGACAACCGTGAAGGATGGAGGATATTGATTGTGAGCCGGTATAATGGAAGGGATGGAGCAGAGATGTCCCTCAAATCTGGAATGAGGAACACAGTCCTGGCCAAAAATCTTGTCCCCCCCTCAGATAACGCACCCCTTCACCCAGAAAATTGCTGCAATGACAAATGTTTCGGCGTTCTCGTGTTTATTTCTTGTGTTTGTATCGGTGACACGAAAAAGTAGAGAAACAAAAAGCCAAATCTGACGCATTCCACACCCCAAAACCCCAGAAATGAACCGGACAAAATTATTGGCACCTTCTCACAACTGACAGAAGTAATTGCATTCCACGTTTGTGACGTTCCTGTAATTTGTCATTAAACTCCCCCGTATCCATGACAATACAGAAATCAGTTATTAGAACCTTGCCTGTAGGTAAAAGCAGGGATTTCAGCAGGAACGCGGGGGGAACGCGGTTCCGGCACCTCCAGCACTGGATGTAGGAGATGGCAAGGGATGCTGGGGAGTACTGGAGGGTCTATTGATGCTTGCTGCTAAGAGATCTATTGTTACTGAAGGAGATCTATTTATAGTGGGGGTGTATTGTTGCTGAATGGGATCTATTTTTAGTGCGGGGTGTATTGTTGCTGAAGGGGGTCTATTTTTGAGTGGGGGGATCTATTGTTGCTGGTAGGGGATCTGTTGTTGTTGGAGGGTATTATGTTTTGGGGGCAGGGCGGAGTGACCATTTGGAAACTTGGGCACTGCCCGAGGGCCCGGGGTCAGTAGGGGGCCCCATGAGATGCCCCTGATACCTTTTTCATAGGCTTTTTCATAGGCTTTTTTGAGTTTGGGCAAGGACACAGGGGCTCCATGATCCCCTAGTGCCCGTGGGCCCCATGAGTTGTCAGTCCGCCCCTGTTCGGGGGGGGGGTCATTTGTTGCTGGGAAATAACTACTATTGAGAGAGGGGGTTTATTATTGCTGGCTGCTGGAGGGTTTGGAGATCTAATGTTGCTGCCAGGGGGTCTATTGTTGATGGGAGATCTATTGTTTGCCTGGGGGATATATTATTGCCTTGGTGATCTGTTTTTGCTGGTGGATCTGTTTTTGCTAGGGTATATTGTTGCCTGTGGGATCTATTGTTGCCTGGGGGATATGTTTTTGCTGGGGGTTTATTTTTTCATGGGGATCTATTGTTCCTGGGGGATCTGTTTTTGCTGGGGGATTTATTCTTGCTGGGGGATTTATTTTTTCTGGGGGATCTGTTTTTGCTGGGGGGATATATTCTTGCTGGGGGTTTATATTGTTGCTGGGGGATCTGTTTTTGCTGGGGGGATCGATTGTTGCCAGTGGGGTATATTGTTGCTGGCTGCAGGGGATCTATTTTACTGCTTTTCTTGCTATCATCAACAAACTCCAAATTACTTAGCTCAGCAATATGATATCTGGTTCTGTATTCTCTAAAAGGGGCAGTACTGGGAGATGGATAGGAGGTGGAACCAAGAGATGGTGTTCAGGGGTGGGTAGGGGGCGGAGACAAGGGGTGACTCAGAAGGGGGGAGTTTCTCTGAGAAAGAAAAGCCCAGGTAAAAGTATAACAAATTGACTTTACTACCATTTAAAGATATTTTTTAATATAATATATACTGTATATCCTCTATGGATTACAAATACTTTCCTTTGAAGGTTGTGCGCTCCAACTCTACAGGAAGGGCCCCACCACCGGGAGACATTTTGATAGATTGACCTCCTGGCTAGAGGCAAGTCATGGTCTAAGGATTGCAGTCAGGTCCCAGTAGATGGCTGCACCCCCCTCACTCCAGTTGGAGATATTCCGATGTGTTGATTGCTTCCATTACCTTTCGCAGGGTTGTTCTCCGCTCCTCTAGTGTGCTCCAGGCTCGGCCTCCAACAGGCGACCAATACTTCTCTGGGGGGCTTATTAGCATTTTTAATAAACTCCAATTATTGATATTGGCGTTTCCGTGTACTGTGGGTCCAGTGACATGTAGGGGGGGAGGTCTCCACTAAGAAGGGTAGGAGAACCCAACATTTCCAGCAGCTCCTATGGGGGGGGTCGTGCTACAGCAATTCTCAAAGAGGAGGCCAACCAGAGGCCACATTGCCAGGATCCAGGAAGGGGTTAAACGGATTTTCACATCTTGTCCCGTTTTTTATTTTTTCTCGCCTTCACTTATAGAATCCTGAAGCAATTAGCAGCATCAGACTTATTGAAATCTTCTGCAGGGAGGCCGAGATATATATAACTTGGTGAGGGTGGTGATGGTGAGGCAGCCGCTTGATTGACGGGAGGAGAGAGAAAGCTTTCCTCCCGGAGCTCAGATTCATCAGGAGGAACCGTCATCCCATCACAATGGCCAACATTTCTATCTCCACGTTCTGCTCCATTGCTTGTGTCTGTCATGAGCCGCCATTCTACGGCAGACCAGATACCGAGCATCAGTATACGGTATATACTCAGCCCTCGTCTACTACACAGTATGCACCAGATACCAAACAGCAACAGTATACGGTATATACTCAGCCCTCATCTACTACACAGTATGCACCAGATACTGGTCAGCAACGGTATAAGGTATATACTCAGCCCTCGTCTACTACACAGTATGCACCAGATACCGAGCATCAGTATACGGTATATACTCAGCCCTCGTCTAATACACAGTATGCACCAGATACCAAACAGCAACAGTATACGGTATATACTCAGCCCTCGTCTACTACACAGTATGCACCAGATACCGAGCAACAGTATACAGTATATACTCAGCCCTCGTCTACTACACAGTATGCACCAGATACCAAACAGCAACAGTATACGGTATATACTCAGCCCTCGTCTACTACACAGTATGCACCAGATACCGAGCAGCAACGGTATACGGTATATACTCAGCCCTCGTCTACTACACAGTATGCACCAGATACCGAGCAACAGTATACAGTATATACTCAGCCCTCGTCTACTACACAGTATGCACCAGATACCGAGCAACAGTATACGGTATATACTCAGCCTCGTCTACTACACAGTATGCACCAGATACCAGCAGCGGTATACGAGCCCTTGTCTACTACACAGTATGCACCAGATACTGAGCAACAGTATACGGTATATACTCAGCCCTCGTCTACTACACAGTATGCACCAGATACCGAGCAGCAACAGTATACGGTATATATAGCCCTCGTCTACTACACGTATGCACCAGATACCGAGCAGCAACAGTATACGGTATATACTAGCCCTCGTCTACTACACAGATGCACCAGATACCAAACAGCAACAGTATACGGTATATACTCAGCCCTCAGCTACTACACAGTATTCACCAGATACCGAGCAGCAACGGTATACGGTATATACTCAGCCCTCGTCTACTACACAGTATGCACCAGATACCGAGCAACAGTATACAGTATATACTCAGCCCTCGTCTACTACACAGTATGCACCAGATACCGAACATCAGTATACGGTATATACTCAGCCCTCGTCTACTACACAGTATGCACCAGATACTGGTCAGCAACGGTATACGGTATATACTCAGCCCTCGTCTACTACACAGTATGCACCAGATACCGAGCATCAGTATACGGTATATACTCAGCCCTCGTCTACTACACAGTATGCACCAGATACCGAGCAGCAATGGTATACGGTATATACTCAGCCCTCAGCTACTACACAGTATGCACCAGATACCGAGCAGCAATGGTATACGGTATATACTCAGCCCTCGTCTACTACACAGTATGCACCAGATACCGAGCAACAGTATACAGTATATACTCAGCCCTCGTCTACTACACAGTATGCACCAGATACCGAGCAACAGTATACGGTATATACTCAGCGCTCGTCTACTACACAGTATGCACCAGATACCGAGCAGCAGCGGTATACGGTATATATTCAGCCCTTGTCTACTACACAGTATGCACCAGATACTGAGCAACAGTATACGGTATATACTCAGCCCTCGTCTACTACACAGTATGCACCAGATACCGAGCAGCAACAGTATACGGTATATACTCAGCCCTCGTCTACTACACAGTATGCACCAGATACCAAACAGCAACAGTATACGGTATATACTCAGCCCTCAGCTACTACACAGTATTCACCAGATACCGAGCAGCAACGGTATACGGTATATACTCAGCCCTCGTCTACTACACAGTATGCACCAGATACCGAGCAACAGTATACAGTATATACTCAGCCCTCGTCTACTACACAGTATGCACCAGATACCGAACATCAGTATACGGTATATACTCAGCCCTCGTCTACTACACAGTATGCACCAGATACTGGTCAGCAACGGTATACGGTATATACTCAGCCCTCGTCTACTACACAGTATGCACCAGATACCGAGCAT